AAACCCCACAAAGTGGAGGTGGTTTTGCTCATTTAGTTGCAACTAAAAGGACCAAAAACTCCAAGCCAGCTGCACAGCTCCATGTCCCACTTCTTCCCAGGCCACAGAGAGGTCACAGCAGCTGCCACCATTCAAGGACAATGGCCACCAGGAAACACAGCCTTACATCTTCTTGGCTGGCTGGTGAAGGACACTTAAAAGTAAATTAAAAACCACTAAAATGGCAAATGTGCTGGCTGAGAGGGCCCCTGCAGTCTTGAAAAACAAGAACCTCCCTTAGAAACAGCACTCCGGCCTCCTAATAACCTTAATCGCTCCCGACAGCCCCAAGAACCAGGTTTAACAACATGACTGGGCTTTGTTTGCTTTTCAGGCTGCTTTATCTCACACAGCACCTTGCAATCAGCTCAGCAAAACCCCAGTTCCTCTGAAACTCCCCCCTGCTTCCCTGGAGTCACAAACTCCAGCTCCCAAAACAGAGGCTGGGGCAGAGGCTGGTGCTGGCACGCTGGAATCCCACCATGGGAAACCCCCAGTAAATCTGGGAAAGCTCTGTGCTGCCCTTTGTACTCCCCAGCTTGCAGGGCAAGGTAATAAAAATGTCTTTTTTATCTCTTTTTGCTGGATTTACATCCCCATCTGGGCTACATAAATATTGCTCATGTCAGTGCATCCCTCCATGGGGTTAGAGGAGGGTTGGGAGCCCGGATGGACACGGGAAAGGCCCCAGGAATGCTGAGCTCCACAGCACCTTTGGCCAATAAAGCTGTGAAATGGGGCCAGAATAGCACCCTGGTAATTGGTAAAAGCTCCAAATCCTGCAGATTTGGGTAAGAAGGTGACAACCACAGTGTCAGCTTCAGGAGATGGGAGCCTGCAAAAGGCCAGCAATGGACAATGACCCCATAATCCCAATTTAGCTGGGATCATTTCCAAGGATTACCTCTTGCAATCAAAGCAACGTGGCCAGCAGGTTGAGGGAGGAGATTCTCCCCCTTCACTAAAGGGGCTTCAAGGGAGCTGCACAGGGACAGCACACAGGGAATGGCTCCCAGTGCCAGGGGGCAGGGATGGATGGGAGATTGGGAATTGGGAATTGTTCCCTGGCAGGGTGGGCAGGCCCTGGCACAGGTGCCCAGAGCAGCTGGGGCTGCCCCTGGATCCCTGGCAGTGCCCAAGGCCAGGCTGGACACTGGGGCTGGGAGCAGCCTGGGACAGTGGGAGGTGTCCCTGCCATGGCAGGGGTGGGATGTGGTGATTTTTAAGGTCCCTTCCAACCCAAAGCACTCTGTGATTTACCCTTACTCTGGGATTTCTCTTCCCAGCTCCTAAAGCTCCAGCCACGCTCACCCACCCACAGAATCTTCTTCAGACCAGAGAGGAGTGCAGGGCTTCTCCTCCCGCTCTTTCATGTGACTGTTAGCATTGAAATGCTTTATTTTCTCAAAAAACCCACCTTGCTCTTTCTTACCAAGCCTTCATTACAACGCTGGAGTAAAAGCAGCCTTTTCCACCTGTGCTCACCTGTCCTAAGGATGTGAAACCAGCACAAAGAAATTCCCCAGCAAAAGAGATGGGAATTCAGGAATAAAGGTGACATCAGCCCTGCCTTGGCCTCAGGATCTGGTCACTGAGGGGCTGTGGTCCATTCCAGCTTCCCTGAGCACAGGGAGCTCCAGCAGCCTCTGCTCCCTGTCGAGAGCTGGGCTACAAGGGAGAAGCTGTTCCCCAAATTCTTGCACACAGATCAGGGGATGTTGACAGACACAGAGATGCACTCAGAGGAGCTGCAGCCAAACCCGACAGCTCCTCAGGCCATCTCTCCAAAAGCTTTCAGTTCCATTTCCAGGCCCCAAAACATTAAATATTAATCGAAGAGAGTTAATCTATACCTGGGATATTGACACAAAGCAGAGGAGGGGAGAAGAAAAAGATAAATAGACCTTTTTAAAAAAAAAAAAAACAAAATCTGTGTGCCTCTGCAGGCTGTCCCACTGGGGCTTTCCAGACCTCAGGTACAGCACCAAGGATGTGCTTGTAGGAACAAGAAGCACCAAGAAATGTCACTCTCCTGGCTCTCCCCAGGTAGCTGGAGCTCCCTCTGGGACCCTCGGGTGGCTCCTTGGCTGGGGGCACAGCCCTGATCAGGGACAAGGCCACCTGGTGGTCCCCTCTCCAATGCTGGGGCACATCCAAGCAGAGGCAGAGCAGACACGGAGGTGGGAAGGTTCATGCCCAGTCAATGCTCACCAGCACCGTGCTGCCACTCTGGAGCTGAGGAAGATGAGGGTGCTGGGCTGGCTCAGTGTCAGCCCTCACTGTGGCACCGGCACTGGGACAGCCACAGATCCGTGGATCCCTCAGCACCGGAACGAGCCCTGTACAACCGGAGGCAAACGTCACCGCTCGTCTCCCAGCAAACACCCTCAAGCATCACTCAACACCTCCCCGGCAAAGCTGCATTTTTTTTTCCCTGGCCGAGTGCTCACATGTATATTATTTATTTTATTCCGGTCTCAGCATTCCTCCGCTCCCCCCGCAAGAAAACAAAGGCAGAGCACAGAGTGAGCCTCGGCAAGGCCCCGGCTGGCGTCCCGCGGGGCAGGGGCACGCGGTGGGCGCAGCACCCGCCCGCCCCAGCCCGCCGTGCTTGTTGACATAGGCAGCACAGTATATTTCTTTAAAGACAGGAGCCTATGCATTCGATGCATTGCTGCCACAGGGTTTGTTTTCAAAGCCTGACCCCAGACCTGAACTCCACGGATCCTGCGTTTCTCAAGATCAAACGCGAGAAAACGTGACCAATGCAAACAAGAAATAAACCTTGATAATTATAGCCGGGGCGGCTATTGTTTAGTGCCGACTAGCACCCGCTTCAGCATAAACAGAACCCTATTTTTAAAGGGATGCCTGACCAGCTGACAGCATTTCTCCCCATTTTGCCTCCAAACCCCTTGTTTGATAGAAACCCACCTCCCCGAGACCTGGAGGAGGTTTAAGAGCACAGACAAAAGGCTGAGCCGTGCCCACAGCCATAGTGGATGCCGCTGCTGGAGCGGGGAGCGGATCCTCGTCCTCCCAAGCTGCTCCCTGTTGGCTGGGGATGAGGGGCGCCCTGGGGTCCGGCTGCTGCCTGCAGCTGGCGGGCTCAGAGTGACGAGAGAGGACAAACAGACAGCACCGGTCTTTTCAGGAAGGCCACATCACTTAGCGCTTGGAAAGGAGCTACGATATTTTCCTGATTATGTTTGCACGCAAACGAGCGCCGCGGGGAAATTATGCAATGCTGAGCGGGGAGGGGTGGGAGCGAGGGAGGAAGGGCTGGAGGGGGGCTCCGGGCTGCACCCCGCTGCCCTCAGCCCCAGCCCGTGCAGCTGCAGCCCCGGAGGTGCCGCAGATGGATCAGCCTCACCACGACCTCAGTCATTAACGGCCTCTTCATTAAGCACCCAGTCCAAAATGCAGATATTCGTCAGCCAGGCAATTTAATTACCCAGCCTGGGTTCACCTCGCACACCCACACGCCTTTCTGTTTCGAGGCCTCTGTGCGGTCATAGCCTTAAATAAATAGATGGCAGGAGCAGGAGGCAGATGCTGACTCCTACAACCTCTGTCTTGGGCACAGAGCCTTTAAACCACCAGAACTTGCAGTATTTAATTTCTTTTGTTACCGCTTCTACCTTTAGAGCCCTGCCTTAGGCTTTCTAGATACAATCACAGGCAGCAGGAAACACAGAGCTACACTATGAGCTTCCTGGGCATCACATGCGCGCACACACACAACACACACACACACTCCCAGCCCATCAATCACCCTAATTACAGCTGGCCACACGTCCGCAGCTCGCTGTGGCACTCCGTTAGTGCCCGTAATTACACGGTCCCGTCGTTTCCCTGGTAAGAGTATCAGGGAGTTAATTTGGGATTCTACATGTGGTGGATCCCGTAATGAATTTCATCCCGCCGCGCTCCCCGGCCGTGCGCCAGCCCAGCGAGGGAGCGCGGGCAGCGCTGGTCCCCAGACAGGCTCTGAGGTCCTCGCACAGCCCTGGCACCCATCGCTCCCCAGCACGCTCCTGGCTGCTGGCTGCTGCCCAGGATCAGAACAGCACCACAGGCAGGTGCCCTCAGCGCCAAGTGCCCGTCTCCACCTGGCAGATGAGAGCGAGGAGGGCCACGGGTGTCCATCACGAGGATGGATGTGATCTGCCAGGGGGACAGCAGGACCTGCGACAAGGCTGGGCCTCCCAACACCGGTGTCCAGCTGGGACCACCACGCCGGCAGCCCGGTGTCCCTCTGCCAAGTCTACTTCAACAGCAGGGGCTTGGCAGCAAAGAACATCCCTTTTCTGCATATTAACCCTACCCAGTCTGCACCCTGGCCGGGCCTGTCCGTCCTACCAAAACACACAGCTGGCTGCAGCCCATGGTTCCTGCTTTGCAGGGATGTGAAGCGCTGGAGACCCCGCGCTGCCCTCGGAGTGACCGCGCAGGTGGCGCTGCCAGCCCTGCCCGGTGCCGGCCGTCCCGCTGAATGGACACGGCTCGCAGGAGCGCGGCAGCCGGGCAAATGCTCTCCTGAGCCACCCCGGCCAACAAGGCAGCTTGAAAAACCCATAAAATGGAACAATAATAAAGAAAACTAGAGGGGGTGGCTCACACCCAGCAGCTGATTCACCAGCGCTGCTCTGCTTTACCCCAAGACACACCGGCAGGACAAGCTAAGGGCGTGTTTTCAGCCGAATTACTTTTAATTGAGTACATCGGAGCTTAGAAACACATGATGCTGTCGGAGATAAATATAGCCACGGCTACGAGGATAGAGGGGGCAGGGAGCAATCGAGGTTCCACACGGCCGTGAAGGAGCTTCCAGCTCCGGGAGGCAGCGCCGGCCGCGCCGCCGCACCTTTCCCCGCTCCGCTCGGGCATCCCCGCTCCGCTCGCTCGGGCACCCCCCGCACGCCCTGCCCGGCCCGGCCAAGGGGCCGCGGAGCCCATACCTGTTTTAAACTCTAGCGCCGGATCCTTCTCCCCCTCGCCCAGGTCGCTCTGCAGCATCATGTAGAGGATCCCGAAGGAGTTGTGGATGCCGAAGATGGAGCCGTTGCACCAGGCGGCGGCGAAGACCACCACCCAGCCGAAGCCGCCCTCGGGGGGCTGGAAGGGCGCGGCGACCCCGCTCTGTCCCCGCTCAGCCGCGGCCCCGGCACCAGCCCCGGCCCCGGCCCCGGCCCCGGCCCCGGCCCCGGCCCCGGCCCCGGGCTCGCTCTCGCCCGCCGCCGCCGCCGGCACCTTCTCGTCGCGTTGCGCCATCGCGGCCGCGCTCCGGCCGCCGCCCGCCGCCCGACTGCCCCGCAGCCGGTCCCACATGCCCGCCGCCCCCCCCGGCCGGCCCCCCCGCCCGCCCCCTCCTGCCGCAGCCTCACTCCCCGCCTCCCCTCCGCCGCCTCCATCCTCCTCCTCCTCCTCCATCGCGCCGCTCGGCCCCCGCGTCCCTACCTGCGGCGGGGGCCGCCCGCCCGCCCGCGCCCCCCTCCCGTCCCCCCGCGGCGCTCAAAGGCGGCCCCGGGCCCGGCCGCGGCCCCGCATCGCCCGCCGAGCGCCGCGCCGCCCCCGCCAGCGCCGCATCCTGCGGCGGGCCCGGCCCGGGGCGGGCCCCCGCCAGCGCCGCCCCCGCGGGGCCCGACGGGGCCGGGGGGCGGCGGGGAGCGATGGGGAGCGATGGGGAGCGATGGGGGAGCTGCCGGAGCCCCCCGGCCCCGCACGGTGCCCGGGCTGCGGAACATGCCGCGGGCGCGGCCCGGGGCTCTCCTGGCCCGGCGGGGATGCTGCCGCTCCCTCCGGCCCGCAGCGGAGCCCCCGGAGCCGCCCGAGCAGGTGGCAAACAGCCGGAGAGGGGACGCCTTTCCATCCACGCCGGGCGGCCCGGGGGGATTTTTGGCGTGCCCGACCCCGAAAAGTTCGGGGAGCGTTTGTGTGACACCGAGCCGGCCTCTTGCGGGGGAGCCGCCCGCATCCCCCCGGCTGCGGGGCTGTCCCCAGGGCCGCGGGGCGCCCCACGCCGCCTCCTCCGGGAGGAAGAGCAGCGGCCACCCAAAACCAATGATTTCGGGAGCTGTTCCCTCGCCTCTGCCTTGTTTTGCAGCAAGCTGTGCCTTTCCCCTTCTTTCAATAAATAATTACAAACCCACCAATATATTAAAGCCTGTCTTTTCACACGCTGAAGGTATTTACACTTTCATATATGCCAAGTCTGAGTTATTATTCTTTCTTTCCCCTAATGGCTGTGTCAGTGTCAGATTCCTATCAGAGTAAAATAATACATCCCAACCTCCCGCTGCTCTTTCTTTACCTCCAGGGATATTAATTACAGGGCAGGGTGCGGAGCCGGCAGGGAGGCGGCGGCAGGGCCGCACCATCTCCCTGCCTCTCCCGAAGCCGGAGAGCAGCGCCCGGCCAGGGGCTGCGGGCTGGGAAGGCTTTTGTCAACGTGCCGCGGCTCGCCGGGCTCGGAGGAGCCCTCTGGGACACGGTTACAGCCAGAAAAACCTCAGCTCGGCCTTCCCGCCCGCTCCCGCCGGCAAATCACTGCCAGCTCCATCGCCATCCGCTTCCTCCCAGGCAGAGGATGAGGAGCAGCGGCTCTGAGCAGCCTCTGTGAGCGATGGCGAGAGCCGGGCGGGAGGGATGCGCCCATGGGGAGCGCGCTCTCCTCCCCTCGCCTTCCCCCGTGGGGCCGCGCCGGTGGAGGAGCCCCAATCCCCCCGGCCGGTGGGCTGCCCGCCGGGAACGCCGCGCTCAGGGCAGCCTCGCTGCTGGAGGAACTGCATTTTTATTTCCCTTCCTCTCTGGTGGAGTCTCCTCCCCGGATCCCCATCTCCGCAGCGCGGCCGGGGGAGGCTTGGGAGGTTTGGAAGCATCTTCCACTGCCCTCTGCCGACGCAACGAGCAGCTAAATTTTAATTTCCACATCACCAGAAAGCCTGCACAGGTTACCGGCCTGCTGGTTTTATTTTGTTAAGCCCCTGCAAGCCGAGGGAAATGGGACCTGGGGTACCCCGGGTGGTGCACAGGGAAGCTGCCCCCCAAACTGTTAATTCTCCACAGCAGCAAAGCAAGGCTGGATTAGAAACAGCAGTGAGAGAGGTGGGAGAGCCCTTTGCCATAGAAAACACCATGTTATGGAGATTTCTTCCCTCTGGAGCTGCAGAAGGCTCTCAGAGGGGGAAACAGGAGGTTAATTCTCCTTGGGCCTCGAGCCAGACACAAACCCCAGGGAGCAGCATCTCCCCTGGATGTTGGCTGCACGGTGCCTGCACAGAGAATTTTTTGGCCCAGACATCACTGGGCTGGAGTGGACCAGTGAGACTGAGGAGTAAAATCACAGAAGGGACTGAAAAAGTGGGGTTAAAAGTCTGGGCTGGGTAAGAGGATGGATTTCATCAAGGAGGAAGATGCAGCCTGGGAAGCTCTGGGAAATGCAGGCAGGAGCAGCTCTGCCTGCTGTAAGAACACAGAGCATCCCACCCAGAGGCTCTGCAGCTTCATAGCCACAAGATGAAAGAAACACTGAGGAAAACCAGACAAAGCTGCTCTTCCCTGGTTGAACTCCATGCTAGAACACCTTTCTGTGTCTGCCACATGGTTTCCCTCAAAGCCCTGAGCTGCCAGCTCGGTGAGGGATGCACTGGATGGCAGCAGCACCTCCAGGCTCTCCAGATGCACATCTGGCATCCCTGGAGAGCTGGCAGGGAGCCCCTCATGGCACAGCTGATGAGCATCGTGTGCTTGGCTCCAACCCTGGTGCCAGAGCCCCTGCCAGAGGGATTGGCTCCTGCTCAGTGTGTGCCTGGTGGTGCAGAAGGGGAGGAGGAATGGAAATATCTGTGCAAATAGCTTGGGAACTGCTGTGGGACCCCGTGGCCTCAGAGAACACAAATCTCCAGTGGTTTTGTAACCTGGCTTGGTTTTAGTGATGTGGGGATGATGCCTTAAGTTCCAGCTTTCATGTTTTCCAGACTCTGTACTGCATTAGGATATAACTCTGAACTCCATATAAAGTGTTAGCAGCTCTCCTCACAGCTCAGTCACACAGAACAATCCTTTTCCAGCCCCAGAACCAAGGACACCACTGCAGCTTCAGGCCCAGAAAGTGCAAACAACAGAGAACTGAGGAGAGCAAACTGGGAGGATGGGACTGCATCACCTGGAGCTGGAATTGGACAATTAACCCCAACATGGAAATGGACCAAAACTGATAAAACTTAGAGTGAGAACTCGTGATCCTCATCCAGCTTGGGTGTAGCCCTGGCTGGGCTCCTGTGCTGCCCAAGGTGAATCCTGTGAAGGCCTTTTAATAAATCCTTACTTTATTCCTTTGACTCTGTTCTAGGCAGCCTCTCAAAGCATCAGGAACATGTAGGGTTGTCCTGAGGACAAAACCTCACTGACAGCATCTGCTGCAGGGCCAAAAGCTTTGGGAAAACATCTCTAGTGGTGAGCAGCTCTCTGCAGAGACATTCACATGCTGGGCACAGCCCCTTCCTGTCATTAGCAGTGCTCCTTTCTTTAGAGTGGAGCTGTAGTTCAGACAGCTGCTGCATCTGGCCTGGCAGAGACACTGTCCCAGAGGAAAAAGGAGCTCAGGGGCAGCCCTAGGGATGTGGCAGAACTCCCTCCCTGGCAGGGATACTGGAATGCAGAGTCTGGAGCCCAAGGCTTGTTCCAGGGAGAAGGCAGAGACCAGCACACTGTAACATCCTTCCTCTGCCTGACCTTCCCAAAGTCTGGGATCAAAAATATCACAGGTGGCATTTCCCACCTTTTTGGTGAGATTCAAGTAGATTCTACTTAGTTTGGCTGGAAAATGAGGCAGCTTGGAAGTGCTGGTGTGAGCAGTGGGTTTTCAGGGAGCCACGTGCCACCAACCCCCACATTTGGCTTCATTTTTGGCAGTGGAAATCACAGCACCTCATCCACTCCATGGCTCCAGGCTGGGTGGGGAACATGGTGCTGCTCAGACATTGCTGCCCTACCTGATTTTCCATTTTGCAGCTGAGCAAAACCACAGTTTCTGGCCCAAACAGAGGACCAGGGTGGATCTATGTTTTATTAAAGGGCTTCTGCAGCCACTCAGCTGCCTGCTCACCTTCAGCCATCCAGCTGCAGAGCTGGGGAGGGCATTTTCTGAGCGTGCCTCACCGGTTTTCCATATTTCCTTTGAAATAGGAGCTCCAGGGGCACGTTCCTGTGGGGAAGTGGAAGTTCCTGCCCAGCTCCACCAGCCCCAACCACTGCCCCACATAACCCCACGGGACCTGGGCGCGAGGTGCCAGAGCTGCTCTGCTGATGGCAAGAGCTCCAGCCGGCACACAAAGGAGGCAAGGATCCAGCTGTAAATTAATATTTTATAGAACACCAAGAAAAATCAGAGAGGCTAATTACAGCGATAATCATCTCGGCCCCGAGGCATTTCCATGGAAGTCAGGAATTACCCAGGATTACCTCAGCCCTCGCAGCAGCCCGGCGGGAGGCAGCGTGTGCCACGGCACCCAGCACCTCCTCCCGGGCCGGCTGGGGGTCCACGACCCAAAACAAAGAGCTTTGGCAGCTGTGAAAAACGCCAATCACTTGTTTTTAAAATTATAAAAGTTCAATAGTACTGAAATGGTTATAAAAATAGTAATACAATTAGAGTGATAATAATTTGGACTATTTGAATTAAGACAATGTGAGACAATAGAGACAAAGAGTTACGGACGTCCGGGTACCTTTTTCTGGGCAGCACGAGCCCGAAAAAAGACCCACGTTAACAAAGGATTAACCCTTAAAAACAACAGCCTGTTGCATATTCATACACTTCATACATGATGCATAAATTCCATTCAAACACAGGATTCTGTCTGGTCATCGTCACCTTCTTCCTCTGAATCCTAACAGCGCCTTTGAGGTGGGAAGAAGTTCGTTTCTTCTGATAAGAGGGCAATAAATTCCTTTTCTCTGAAAGATTCAGGTGTCCTGTGGTTGCTATCTTGCTGTGAGTCCTTTCTTTAAAAAAGTATCATACATAGCATCGTTTCTATTTTAACATTTTTATAACCTAAAACTATATTTAACACAGTACTTAAGAGAATTAATACAGCATTACTTTCTAACACAACACGTATAAATATTCATTTGAATATTTGCGAAAAGCCAATCATAAAATACGCATTTTTCACAGCAGCCTCCTGGCATCCTGCTCCAGCTGCACAGCCTTGGCTTGAGCTGGCTGGGGTGGGGATGGAGGGTGCTGGGGTTTGGGGCCGGGTGCTCCTCTGGCCCCACTGTGCCTGTCACTGATATGGGAGCCACCACTGACCCCAAGCTGC